GCATGCACACTTGTGTACAGAAGAGAACATTTCCTGAAGAATACCTGAGAAATGAACAGTGGCCACCCATGGGGTAGGTGGGGCCATGGGGGGGGCATGCCCACCTGTGCAGGAGGAGGGGGAGGAGGGGGAGGAGCGGGCGGCTCACAGCATCCCACGGCGGTGTGCAGCTCCCTCATGAGCACGTACTATCTTCTAACTACGAAGCGATTCCGATAAAAACTATCTGATTAGCGAGTCAGCACGTGGAAGCAGAAGAGAGTGAGGGACGGGCCAGCGACAGCAGTGAGGCCTCAGCCGTCCGCAGGAGAGAACCGTGGGCCTCAGGCACATGCCCCCTGCAGCCCAAGTGAAGGCGTAAACCCTTGGTGCTTCTGAGGGGATTCCCCCAAGAAGTTCCTACTTAGGAACGCAGCACAGCTAACATGTTTGCAGAGTTCGACGGCTGCCGCTTTCACAAACATCCTGGAAAAGGCACACAGCCCTTCAACCCATGGCCGCCCCTGCCGCCAGCGCACCGCCCTGCCGTCCACGGCGTCGTTCTGGCCCCCAGAGGCACCATCCGTCCCGGGGTGGGGGCACGGTCCGTTCTCCCAGTGCCACGGGAGGGCCTGGGACCCCACAGGAAACAGGAGGTGGAAGGTGGTTACGCCCACAGGAGAGACACCACCTGAGCTCCCAGCAAGGACGGACTAGCTCTGTGTTAGCTGGCCCTGGGTCTGTACGGCCGCCGACCTGGGCTGCCAGGGCTCTGGCAGCACGCCCTCACTCCACCGTGATGGAGGTGGCCTTCGCATGGGTACTGGGGCTCTGCAGTGAGCAAAGCAGGCTGAGTCCCTATGCTCCAGGCGACCACCCACACGGGAGGAGGCCATGCCCGGGCAACGCGGGCCTGCAATGGCCTGTGCCGTCCCCCTCGATGTGGCTTCACTCACAGACAGGACCAGTGTTTATGGCAGAGTGTGGCTGCATCTGGTGCAGAAGATTCTCTGAAATTGCCGGCTTGCTGTTTCCAAGTGTCTGGTTAATCTTCTTAAGTAAGCTCTTCAAAATTCCATCAAATCTGTCTTCATTTTACTGAAAGTAAGCTCATAAAACTGACCAAAAATGCATTTAACTTACTTATGCGTGACTTATAAATGGATAAATGAAATGTAAGCTGAATTATGGATCAGATATTAAGAGCTGCTCACAGGGGCACCTGGGTGGCTCAGTGGATGGGCATCTGTCTTCAGCTTGGGTTGTGATCCCAGCATCCTGGGATCAAGCCCTGTGTCAGGCTCCCTGTTCAGTGGGGAGTCTGCTTTTCCCTCTCCCGCTCCCACTCCTGTCAAATGAATGGGTAAAATCTTAAAATAAATAAATAAATAAAAGAACTGTTCACTCACCAAGGGTCAAATCTAAGCTGTAACTTGACTTGTCTTTTTTTTTCTTTATCGATAAGGAAATTTCTCAGGGCATGTTCTGAAATAATAATTGCAAACAGTTGATAAAAGAAAAACTACTGCTGAGTGAAATATTTCAGTTTGCATTGATTTTCAGGGAGTAAATTTAATAGCTCAACAAATTATGCTAAGGAGTAAACCGGCCAGGACAATTTTCACAAACTATTAAAACAGGAAGAAGCTGGTTTTGAATTAGAGATAGGTGTTAAGAGCAGTGTGACACCACGACGGCCAGTGAGCCTGAAGCTGATATTCGGCAGCACGTTTACGAAAAGCAACGTGGGCACCAGTTAAGAAGGACGAAGACACAGCCTGCCAGTGCAGGTGGCCTGAGCACGGGCCGACTTCCCAGTGTGCCGATGTGGGTGTCCATGTCAGCCCAGAGCAAGCACTGCTACCTGGACCCAGCGCCGGCTGCCTGACGTGAGCACATGCACCCGCCCAATTACACGAAGGAGGAGTGGGACTGGCCCCCATCGCCCTCCCCAGGTCCTCTCCACACAGTCACTCGCCACGGTTCCCACCAGCACCAGGTGCAGAAGGGACCCAACGGCTCAGCCCCGATTCTAAGTCAGCTACACGTGCTTGAAGAACATGGCACCTAAAATTGATTTTCTCTTCTCCTTTAAAAAGTGGAGTACAGCTTCGAAAAACACTTATTCCTCAAAATCAGATGAAAATTATGAAAAATTATTAAAGTAACCTAGATATAAAAACATTCAAATATTAACAGATAATCCCAAGACGGCTTATCATGTTACACACAGGATTGTGGAGGAAACAACTTAGTTTTGACTTGTGTTTTTTTTATTTATATTTAAAATTTTATTTATTTATTTGACAGAGAGAGAGAGAGCACAAGTAGGCAGAGGGAGAAGGAGAAGCAGGCTCCCCGCTGAGCACAGAGCCCAACGCGGGGCTCCATCCCAGGACCCTGGGATCATGTCCTGAGCTAAAGGCAGACACTTAACTGAGCCACTCAGGTGCCCCTGGATTTCTGTTTTTGGAAGACATAGAATTTTCACACCTAACACAGTGAGAACGAAATCCACACGTCCACTCCAAACTACTTATCTTTACTTCAGCAACTGAGACCATTTGTAATTGGATGCTAAACTGATACTAATTTTTATTAATTAGTAAAACTAATACTAAATTTTATTCAGAAAACGTGTAATAATTATTGATTAGTCTCAGTTTAAAATTGCTAATTTTAAGGGAACAAGAGAATCTCATACAGAATATTGAAAAGTACACATTCTTAATTTCTTTCATACAAATCCTCAGGGAAACCATCACTGAATACCTTTAGAAACATAAGGAAACTATCAAGGATTTTCAAACACAACGCCACCTCACACCTTGTTTGTATGTGTTCCAACATTAATGGGTGCAGACGGCTCAGTGTTAATTACGGGAAGAAGTCCGCGAGAATCCTCTTAGCTGCTGACGAGGAAGAGTTGCTATAAACATGTAAAACAGCACAAAAACCCCAAGCAGAGGCTCCTGCAGACAAGGCTGTCTGCTGTCAGCGAGGTCAAGGCGCACGTGCCCCTCTCTGGAGTGCACGCCCTGCGGGACAACAAGGAAAGCGCCCAAGCACACGGAGGAGGCCCCGCATCTCCGTGGAGAAGGTGGCAGCGAGCGGAGTGGGGTCCAGGGGGTCCCGAGCAAATCCAGAGATGAACGCACGGAACGCAACTGGGGGAGAGCCGGAGAGCCGGCGTGGGTGGAGACGTGCCGGAGGCCGGGCAGGGGGCTAAGATGCGCAGCGTGTCCACAGCGGCACATGCACGGATGCATCCCTGAGCGCTGGCTCCTGTCCTTGCTGTTAGCAGAAGGCGTATATAGCAAGTGGGCTTTGGAAGGCAGCCCTGCTGGCCTTTGAAGGGGGTGCCGAGGGGCGGGGGTCGGGGTGAGAGGTGAGCATTCCCGCCGAGCAGAGACGGAGCCGGGCAAGCCTCGCGCACACGGTCTCAGCACCTCCCCAGGTCACCAGGCTCCTCACTCACCATCTCCGCAGGACGACGCAGAGACACGTGGTACTTCCAGGAGGGCCCAAGACCATTTCAGTCGGCAACGCACACAGTACGTTTTAACTTTATACTTACGCATTTTTTATGTATCAGAAAACAACCAGCAGAGGAAACATACAGTGTCACAGCCCTTACTGCTGGGATGAGGCTAAAGCAGGTATTTTCATTTTCAAAAAGGTGAAAGTCCTCGTCAGCGGGTAAGAGTGTGGCATGCAGATGGAACGAACACATCGTGGGGAGGTTCGGGTGACAGAAAGGACAGACTCTGGCCCACAGACCTGCCTTGTCAGAGCACAGAGTGCTCGTGCCCTTGCGGAGTCCCAGCTCCGACCCAGCAATGAAGTCCCTCTACCTCGACGTGAAGGTGCTCAAGAGCGGCGAAGACACACCTCAGGACGGCCTGAACTCTAAGAGGGTGCGCGGAGAAATAGTTACTGAACAGAGACCTCCGTGCTGACGCACAGTTTCCTGGCCACTGGACTCTCGACACCCTGAACCAGCTGAGTCCAATCGCAGTGCCTCACCCAGAGAAGAGGTGAGTGACGGACATGCCCTGTTGGCCAGGGCACACATCAGGATACACCCCATCGGGGCGCCCGGGTGGCTCAGTCGGTTAAGCGACTGCCTTCAGCTCAGGTCATGATCCCAGGGTCCTGGGATCAAGCCCCACATCGGGCTCCCTGCTCAGCGGGAAGCCTGCTTCTCCCTCTCCCACTTGTGTTCCCTCTCTTGCTGCCTCTCTCTCTCTCGTCAATTAAATAAAGAAAATCTTAAAAAAAAAAAGATACACCCCAGCAGCCCAGAGAGCGGGACTCCCGGGAAGCATGGGCAGCAAACGGGCCCCCACACACTGGTCACACACGGCGCCCTGGCAAGCTCTGACCGGGGCCAAACCAAACAGGTACTATTACATTAGGTGTAAAGTGATTTAACCCTAGTATTTCTGTCCTGCCACTAACACTTTTAATTCCCTAGAAGCCGTTAAGGAAACTTTGCCTGTAATACACATTACATAGGATATATATTCTTTTTGAGCCAAGATAAAAATGTCCTCTACAAATAGATCATCAGTGCCATCAAGGTGCAATCCAGGCTTCTGTGGAGACCCACTCTGTGTCAATCCCCTTTCTCCTACCAGCTCGCTGCTTGTCTCTGGAGCAGAGCTCACGCTTGTGGGGGACACAGAGTGGAAAATGCAGGTGAAACCATCAGGTCAGAGTCCCGGGAAGAGCCTGTGCTCACCCCCCGGGTCTCCCACGGCAATGCACCCGCGCGTGCGGCTGGGAGAAACTGGCAACATGGGGCAGCCCCAGGAGAAAGCGCGTGGGACGAGGGGCACCAGCGTGGGAGAAACCCCCACTATTTCCGTCTCCTCCTGAGCTCACTCCTTGTGCTCTGCCTGCCATCACAAACACAACTTAGCACCAGCGCCAGAAGCGTCTTGAATATGTACACTCGTCGCCTTCAAAACCCAGCCCATCAAGTGTCCTCGAAATGGCTTTGGAAATAGAAGACTTACTTTGACCACGTAGGTGAACCTTCGAATATCCTGAATTGCACTTGAGAAGTCTAAGCGATTAAAAGCCTCTCCCAAAGTACAATAGCCGTGCCTCTGGAAAAACAGACACAAGACAGTTGAAATCCATAATCAGTCAATTAGTCAAAATAAAGTGACAGTTAATGTGAATTAGTCTATGCAAATTTTCTTAAATTTTTGCAAAGGGCGTTTGTTTTTATGATTTATTCCACGTTTAGATTAGCATGGAGTAAAACAGCAATGCTAAATAAATACAAGTCGCATATCATGCAGACACTATGCTCTGCCATTCTTCCAGCACTATGGACACGATGACAAAGACAAATGCTTACTAAATATCTTGTTGATTTCTCTTGTGCGGATAAGCTGGGAACCGAAATCACAATGGGATGTGTTCTGGGCTAAGCACCTACAGATGCACAAACCATCTGCCCGGCTACTGTGAAGATGGGTCTGCTACAGACACACGCAGGACACCCAATTCCTCTGCAGGGAGCCCCGTGCCCCGCGGGTCTGGCGGGTGCCCTACGCACCAAACCAAGGCCCGAGGCCCAGGGCTGGGGGGGCGACTACGTGTGGTTTCCAGGTGGGGAGCCGAGGGGATGCCTGGCAGTGACACCCAGGAGCTGGTCGTCTGACCCACAGGACCCAGAGCCCAGGGGACAGATGAACACATGGGGCGTGTTTTCAGTACTGGAAACCCTGCCATCTATTTCAGCTGTGTGTCCCTCATGATGGGCCCTACAGTCAACACTGGTTTGCACAGGATTGTACACTGGGTGTCAGGAGTCATTTCAAACTCAAGTTTCCGCATTTGAAATCCTGAGAGTATGCAGAGATTTTCAAGTCACAGTTGTGGGGCTAGACGAGCTGGTGATAGTCCTAGAAACATGTGGTGACAGATTACCCTCGCCTCTCGAATGGATGGCGGGACAGGGGCTAGCAAAACAGCTGGAGTGCACACCTAGGTCTCAGACCAAAGATGCCCCATGAAGGCTGATTTGGTTTTGTGCCCAGATTGCAAGGACAGTCCTTATATGTGCACAAACCAACAAAACACATTTTTAAAACAATACAGGTTATTAATGAGTATCTACTACATGCAAACTGTTCTCCTGGGAGCTGTGAGGAAGCAAAGGTTACTTATAGATTATAATCTGAAGTCAATCGCCGCTGACATTTCTATCTTCTCAATGAATGGAACTCTAAATACTGGTAGAGACGGAGACCCCTTTCCAGGCAGCCACCCATGTCACAGCGGCCTCTTCTTTTTTGGGGAATTAAATCTATTTACAGACCGCAAAACACTTGTTTGGGCCACACGAGCCTGCCTGCGTTTGGGGGGCCTGGAACCACACGTGGAACCTCAGAGGCTGTGGGGCAGCCACAGTGGGCCACGCAGATAAGCAGTGGCGATACCTGGTCCGTATCAGGTGCTCAGCCCAGAGACGCAGCCGAGCGCAGGGAGCCCAGACCCTCCCGAGCCTGGCTGTGTCCCTGCCACAGGGCCCACACAACACCGCTGCAGACTCACGAGCAGGTTCCCTTTGCTGCTTAGGCTCTCCCGATGGTCTCTGCTCTGTAACGGGTGTGGTAACACAGAGCAGAGGAAGTACTGAGCAGTCAGTCGTAAGCCCCAGTCCGTCAGATTCCGTCAAGCGCTCCTCTGACGGGGCTCACTCAGCGAGTGTGTGAGCCGGGAGCGACGTCAAACCCACAGCAGCCCTAGCCACCATGAACGAGGCCAAATCAGTCTTCCGGCTCAGAAGCTAGCCCCTGTGCTTCTGGGGAGCGGGCCCACCCTGGAACATGCAGCAGTGATCCATGGTAAACAACCACTTCCTAGACTATGCTCCCCAACTGCTGTGGACAGGCAAAGAAAGAGTGTCTCAGGGAGCGAAAGAAAGGAAGCGTCCCTGGGTACTGAGCAGAGAAGGAAGCGGAGTCGGAGCGAACGGTCCACGGCTCCGAGAAAAGCTGCAGCCAACCTGGCAGAAGCGGGGGCGGGAAGGGCTCGCACTGCTCTGGACAGGGTCGGACTTCACCACAATGTCACAGCGGTTCTAAATGGGGGCCACCCTGCTCTCAGCGCCCCTAACACACAAGAGCAAGGACCCGTGCCCGCAACACCAGAGGCTCACCCCAGCAGCTTCTGGGGAGACAGAGGGAGAAAATGTCCAATCCTCGCTCTGAAACAGCCCTCCGGCTGACTCAGATTTGTAGTGGGGGCACCAACCATACACCGCACGTGCGCGTGCACACACACGCACACACGAATCACCACTTCAAAGATCCTAGGTTTTCATCTGCTAGAACGTGAGCCAGAGAGTTCATGCTGCAAGAGACAGAACGTATTTAATATGACATTACGTATTCAACAGAAACACCACCGAATACTCTTATTTGTAACAGAATACTTACTTCTCTCGTGCTTTCTTTATGGACATAGATCCATTTCTCACGATAAAAACCTAGAATAAAAATTAACTTTGTTTTTAAAATCTGGCAAATCATTTAAAATGAAGATTTTTAATGAACTTCAACAGTTGTAAATGGTAACAAAATTATCTGACTTATACAGATAAAGAGATGCTATCACTTGGTTAAATGTCAACAGAACTGCTTTGTTTCCCGACATCAGTTTAAGAGGTGCTGAAACACTGGGCGCCTGGGTGGCTCAGTCGTTAAGCGTCTGCCTTCGGCTCAGGTCATGATCCCAGGGTCCTGGGATCGAGCTCCACAGTGGGCTCCCTGCTCGGCGGGAAGCCTGCTTTTCCCTCTCCCACTCCCCCTGCTTGTGTTCCTGCTCTTGCTGTCTCTCTCTCTGTCAAATAAATAAATAAAATCTTTAAAAAAAAAAGAGGTGCTGAAACATCTTTACATGAAAAATGACTTAAGACAGCACCACATCTTCTCAACTTAGAAGAAAACTAGCTCTATGAACAACTGCAGTAATATCAAAACATAAACGACTATGAAAATATGGTTAGTCATTAATTCTGTGTACCCTAACAATTCTTCTTTTTCTACTATAGTCTTTTTCATGTAACTCAGTCCCAAAGCTTCAAGGACCGTGATTACTCTATTCTCCACAGGACCCTGTCTTTTCCAGGAGTCTGAATACCCTACGATCGCTGCCAAGGACTCCTGCTTGTGCCGCTGGGGGGAGTGGGGCCTGTTGCACAGGTGAGCGGCCGCCAGGAGCCTCCCTACCCTGCCCGGCCTGCGTTCCCAGTCCAGCTCTGGCCGGAGTCCAGAGTCAACACACCTTGCCGTCTAGCCTCTTTGCTTGGGAGTGAACTGGTAACTGAACTCACGACCATTTTTCAGTCATTCCAGATGCACGAGCTGCTTTGTGGGTTTTGCTATTGTTTTTGCAGATCTTACTAACTAAATGGTGAAGCTGCAGTCTGATAACCAAGTCAGCGGGCAACACGGGACAGAGAGAGCTGTCACTCATGTATCGTCCTTTATTTCTTAAGATAGCATTGTCAAAACAATTCAGTATATCAATACATTAAACAAGTAAAATATCATAAAATTGTTAATAAAAATGATCTTACATTGAGTATCTGTATCATTTCTAAAATGATCCTTTTTCCTCTTTTTGGATGTGTATTCCTGCTCTTCATTACTGAATATTTCTTCATCGTCACTATTTAAGATACTGAAATAAAGACACATTTTATTAAATACTTTTACAGGGAGATCTTCATTTGGCTTTCCTTTTATAAAAAAAAGATAATACTGGTTTGCAATTCAGGAGACCAAAACAAAAATCATGTTGAATTCTGAAAGCTACCAGTAACTTTCAAAGCAGCATATCACAAGTCTGAGGTTACAAAGCTAATGTCTCATCTGTTGTTTGCTGTGAGGAATCTGAGATTTACTCTGGTTCTTTTGAGGATGTCAGACCAGGTAGGGCGGAACACGATCAGACTCTCCCAGGGGTTCTGGTAGGCGCCACCAAGGGAGGCCGAGGGCTGGCGCGGCTGGTTCCCAGCATGTGGGACAAGAAAGCAGTGACAGCTCCTCCACGCACCGGGGAGTCCATTCATCACGTCAGGAGACCAGCCTGCTCTGACAACGCGGCCACTCAGCAGGACGGGCACAAGTGCGTTGACAGAAACATGTAGAGCTTCCCATCCGGTGGCAGGTGCCACAGAAAGGAACTCATGGACACGGCTAGTCCCAGGGCATCACACTCGGTCTTACACGAGTCGGCTGTCATTGACTCGATCCTGAACGCGAAGCTCAGCTTTTCCTAACTACAGTCATGAGCACACCAAGGAAGAGCAGCGGCGGCTGCCACACAGACGACAGCCTGTGGGACGAGGGGGCAGAGCAGGCGGGCCCTGACCTGACCCAGACCCTGCCCCGGGGGAGGCCCTCTGACCCCCCGCATCGGCCGGCGGAACAGTCCCATTCCATCCCGCGGACACGCAGCAGGCCTGGCTGTGGGAGCCGCGTCCTTCCAGCAGGCGTATCACAGACGGTGCGAGCGTGGCCCCTGGGGCTCCCCACGCTAGCGCACAGAACGTGGAGTCCACCCGCTTGGCCATGTGGGCAGTGAGGTGCTCATCGGACTCAGGCCCCGGGGCCACACCAGCCACAACGCCCCACATGGTCCACGCGGATAATCAAGAGAAAATGCCCGCTCTACGGAAACTTAGTTGCCATTTTCACAAAGCGTATCTTCAATGGTTTTTATACTGTCAGGTAAAAACATACATAAATATAAGTGGGTAAGAAAAATAAATGCTTCCAAAATTAAAATCAACATTTAAAACCATGACTTCAACAGTGCTGGATGCTGACCGCATCGTTCCATTTCACGTGCACATAAGCCACTGAGCGACCGAGTTCCATGGGAAATGCTCTTATTTATTACCTCTGGTTTCACGAGTGAGATCAACATCACCAACCCGGATTTAAAAGTCAGCGGAACTTCAAGAACAAAACCAAGCAACTGTATTAAAAAGGAGCAGAATGAACAGACATTTCCCCAAGGAAGAGGCACTGGTGGTCAGCAGGCACCTGAGAAGATGCTCCCCACCACCGGCCACGAGGCACACGCAGATGCAAACCACAGTGAGCGGGCAGCTCCCACCTCGTAGGACGGCTACCATAAAGAGCCTGGAAAATAACCAGTGCTGCCTCTTCTCTACCTCTTCCCCTTCCTCTAACGGGCATGTGTGTTCGCTGGACGTGTCCAAGACATCCCTCGGCCTCTCTTCCGTTTCAGATGTCATTTCCTCTTCTTGCGCTCAGCTTGGGTGCTTTCCACTCCCCCGTCTCCCTGATCCCTGACCCGTCCTTCTGCATCCTCTCGTCTGCTGTGGACCCTTCGGCGTGGTCTCCCTTTCCGTCGCTGTATCCTTCAGCCCCGACTGGCTCTGTTTGCATTTCCTGCCTCCGCGGAAGGTCTGAGCTCACCCACCCTTCCCTCCAACCGGGTGAGCATCTGTACGACCGTTAGACTCTCCCTCAGGCACACGGCTTGCCTCTGCGTCAGGTCGTTCTTCCACCGACGCTGTGTCTTGTTCTTCCTCTGTCGACCATTCTGCTGGACCTTCTGCGTGTTTTTATGAATCCTAAACCTGAGGGAATGGTATCGTGCATGCCCGCTGACTGGCTGGCGGGATGGAGTTGTGGCTGGCGGAGGCCAGGGGTCGTGGGGCTCTCTGTGCCGGGCCACCCTGTGGGATGACCAGAGCTCCAGTGGGACTGGGCAGGGACAGCCCCGAGGCTCCCCACGCAGAGGGTACTCTGGCAGGACAGCTGGAGCTAAAGTGGCTACAAACGGGGGGGTCCCAGGCCCCCCCCGCGTGGGCACCCTGACAGGACAGTACATGAGGGGAAGCGAGCCCAGGAGGATGCAGGCTCTGGGCTCTTGTGCAGGGGGCACCCTGGCGGGACAGCTGAGGTGGGGGCCACCAGGGCGCTCCAGGCTGTGCACAGAGTGCCCTGGCGGGACTGCTATAGCTGAAGTGGGCACGGGCTGCGGGGTCCCTGGGCTGTCCATGCAGGGGGCATCCTGACAAGACAGTGGACAGTGGAGTGGGTGCAAGCCGGGATGTCCCAGGTGCTCAGCGCAGGGGGTGCCCTGGTGGGGCGGCTGGGAGGCCCTGGAGCAGCCGAGCAAGGCATCGGAAGCTGAGGTGGCGAGGGTCTGGAGGGTTCCAGGATGCAGTGAGCACTGTGCAGGGGTGTCCCAGTGTGCACGGTGCTGGGGCCACCTCTCTGGGGCGGCTGGGGCTGGTGTGGGCTCAGGGACCTGGGCTAGGAGAGGCAGCAGGCCGGTCAGGACACCTGGACCCTGCTCCCATCCACACTATCAAGGGGGAGGGGAACGTAAGCCATGAGGCTCACCAGCCCTAGCCCCAGAGAGTTCCAGAAGCTCTCCACAGTCTGGTACAATTTTAAGGGTGTCTCTTTTATAAGCTAGTTGACCTTTTCAACTGTGGCTTTTTTCTGTGCCCTGGGGCGGACGCATGTGCTCAAGGTCTCTCTCTCTCTCCCCGCTGTAGTTCACAGCACCGGGGGTGGGGGTCCCTCCACCGTCATGTCCTCCTCTGTTCGCTCTCTGCATGGTCTCTAGCTCTGTTGTGCGGAAGCTGCTCAGTCAGCCCTCAGTTCTTCTTCAGGAGGAACTGCTTGGTTAATAGCGCTGGATTTGGGGTGTCCCTGGAGGTGGTGAATTCAGGGTCTTGGACCAGAACCAATCCTGAACACAAACTGATCTAGAAACAGGACCTTTGGCGATGGAATTAAGGGAAGGACCCTGAGATAAAATCATCCTGGATTAACCACGTGGGCCCTAACTCCAAGCGCAGAGGGGAAGCCACAGGGAGACTGGCAGGCAGAAGGCCGTGTGACGGTGGAGGCAGAGGCTGGAGTGAGGTGGCCACCAGCCAAAGGATGCCAGGACTGCGGCAAACACCGCAAGCTGGGGATCCCGCTCGGAGCCTGTCCGCACCTGCATTTGGGCTTCTGGCTCCTATACCACCGATGTTATGGTTATGGCAACCACAGAAAACTAACACACTAGCCTACGCTTTGAAATTCCTTGAGGTCAATATTGGTCTTAAAAGCACTCTACCAACTCTACTATCAAATACACAAGATGTTGGGAGAGAAACTCAGCAGAGGTGATGCCTCATCGGAAACAAACCAAAGCAAACCTCAGATACAAAATGTGGTCACTTTTACCCCAAACGAAACAAAGCACAATGAAGCCCTCAAACATAATCGCTGACAAATGACTCCAGGCTGACGGCCTCTGGCATCTCTGTCAGAGTCCCTGAGCTGTGCGTCCTCGACGAAGCAGGACACAGACGGCATTTTAGCTCCTCTCCCCAACGGTGCCACAATCTCTGCTCTCACAGTTCCTGGTGACGGTTTTCAGTTTTACATCAATTCATCAATGGCTGCCTGTGAAACTTAGCTTTTCATCCACACATTTTCTAAAAAAAGATCAAGGGTTATATATTATCTTCTCCTGCTGGCCAAATGTCCACATGTAGTCATTTTCCTATTTAAGGTCACTCTTGCATCAGCAATTGGTCTTTCTTACAAAAATATATTAAAAGGAAAAGTCCAATTTATTTAAGTTTTTAAGACAAGATTAAAAGCCTGTTGTTAGGGCTAACACTTTATTCCTGAATACTTCCCACAACACACTGTGACACAGACGTGTTACAGGAAGGGGGCGTAGGGCGGGTGGTGGCCACGCAGCCCCACGGTTCACCCAGCAAGGAGACGTGCTGGCCCCCACACACCATGTGGTTTAGTGAAGGAAAACGTGGCCTTGCAGAGGTTCGGGATGGAGTTTTCCCAGAGATGGACTGGTGGGTAGTCCAACTTCAGCGGCCGCGACATCTGTGAACGGGAAGCATGGAATGCAGGGCGGGCCAGCACGCCCTGGCCCTCGCTGATGCCCTGCACACACGGGGCAGACCACCGCCTCCGGCTGTGGCCCTTTGCGACAGACTCCCAGCACCAGCCATGATACTCACACAGCCACCAACCCTATCAAGTCCCCCCAACCTCACGTCACAACGCAGGCCCTAACCTGTAACGAAGGAGCAGACCCCACAGCAGTGGCGTAGCAGGGATCACAGGCCAGAAACAGGTTCGGGAGACTAAGTCAAAAAATTCAAGTGAGCCACAGATATATCTAGGTAAACAGACGTACAGGGTAAAGGCCATGATGAAATTTATGAACGTGCACCAACACAGGAAGTGGCGAGACCAGGAGCTTAGTGAGGATCCATTATAGAATCCACACTGGAGCAGAATGCTGGAGACAAACGGGACGAGACAGGTAGAGACAAATGGCTATCGAGCAAATAACATGTATTTACTTGTAGGACTATGGGGCGCAACACGGCATGTCATGTCACGTGACAATGTCCACAGAGAACCACCACTAACAGGGTGGTGCAGGGATGGGGCGTGAGGTCAGCAGGAAACTGCATTATTTACTGTACGGAGCTGACAGTCAGGAACCAAACAGAAGGAACGAAGTACGATACAACGATTTTCACTATCAAGGTGAAAATAAGGGGAAAAGATGTCCTAAGTACTGAAGCGGTGAAGGTGAGCAAAACTCAAGATGACAGGTTCTCTACGTGTATGTACGAGAGAGTATCCACGGGTACCAGG